AACTTCCTTTTTAATTCCTTTATTTTTTTTACTTACTTATATTTCTGTGTATTTAATTTTCTTATGGTAGAAATATAGTATATTTTAGTATTTTACCACCGCCTACTGTGGTGGGGGATATTTTGGGGGGTTTTAGCCTTTGGCTAGGGGGAAATTTTTTTTTGCTACTTTTTTTTTGAAAAAGATATCTAATAACCTGATAATTGTTAAAAAGTTATTAGATAAAGGGAGTTTTTGGCTCCCTTCTACCTGTTTTTTTTTTTTTTTTGTAAACGACTAAACCTAATAAACTAATGCTTGCTATCAGAACTACGAAAAAAAGGAAACCAACTTTTTAATGATTGTTCCACCTCTGCTGTATTATTTTGATTTTGGTTATTATCTACTTGTTGAGAGGATTGGAGAATTTTTTCTAATTCTTTTCATTGTTCCTCAGAAAAACCCGCTTTATAACTCATTTTTCGATAATCATGAATTATAAATCCTTCTTTATCATACTTTATTTGTGCCGACTGATGAATTAACATTATATTTGTTCCTTTTTCCTCATAAGGAAGTGCTTTTGGTAAAACTGTCTCCACCTCCTTAATGCTTCATCCTTCCTTGTCTCGCTTAATATTCTCAAAAATAGCATTTTTTATTTCTCGCTTTTCATCCCTACTAAAATAACTCCAATCTAATCCTTTTAAAGCTTCGCAATATATTATTTCTTGCTCTTTTAATTCCGTAATTATTTTTTCTTTTAATTCTTGTGGATTTACCATATTCTTATATTTACTTTAATGTAGTTTTTACTTAATTTAGCCTATACCATGATTTTGGTTCAACTTCAACGCGAGCATCCATATTTATTCCTTCATACATTATTCCTTTACCAACTGTCCCTGAATTAGTAAAATCTCCTATTTGTCTAATCCTACCCCCTTGGTAAGAGGAAGTTAAACCACTAAAAAAACTATTACTTTCACTAATCTTATTTTCTATGCTGTAATATTTGTTTCTTTCTGCGTATTCATGCCCTTTCTCAACCTTTTTCTTTTCCGTGAATTCTGAAATATCGACGCCGTGAGTAGCTAAATTAACAAAATGCTCGCAATTATTACTTTTTCCATCATTATCAACCCTTGTTCTAAATCTACCTCTTTTTTCAAAATACTTTACTGCTCCTTCTACCGATTCTGCAAGACTACTAATCACTTTATCTTTATGCTTGTAAGGAACAACAGGATGTAAACGAACTACCTTATTTGGCGAACCAAGAAATTTAAGGAAATTTTTCCAACTAGTAATTTCAACTCAACCCCAACTGTCTCCCGTTCTATTTCCATAATAATCATAATAAGAATAACCAGTAGCCATAAGAGAATAACCACTATAACTATTGCCGTAGGCACTAGAATAGGAAGAAGTATCGCTACTATCTGGACGAGAGTGACAAACTCTATCATTACCTAAATAAACTGCCGAATGAAATCACCCATTAGGAACATGAACTTTAACAATATCCAAAGGTTTCAAATAATTATCAGGATTGTTTTCTACATCATAAGAAGGTAAAGAAAGTTCGGTGCTTTTAACATCTTTGAAACTATAATAATTTTCATTATATTTAAGTTCTAGGGAAGGCGACTTATAAAGAATGGGATTATCACCTTTTAATTTTCCTTCCACATTATAGGCTTTGCTTTTAGCATCCGACCAATCAAGACCACTATCAATCCACTTAGTTTCTAGAACCTCAGACATGTTTTTTCAAGGCATTTCATAAACAATTAAATGAACCCCATAACTACCCTCACCATTGATTACAACTATTAAATTATTATTTCACCAAGTAGAAAAGAAAATCATTTTTTGAATTCTACCATATATACTTGGCTTTTTCCTTCTAAATATTTCATCCAAGTATCATAATTTCTTTAAATCTCGGGAAGCATATTCAGGATAATTGTCATTAACTCCGAACTTATTCATTACTTCCTTTTCACTGGAATTAAAATGACCGCTATTATATCATTGTTGTAAAGTTTTTCTTGTCATATTTTATTATTCAATTTCCTTCATTTTTACTTAAAAATACTAACTTTTTCAGAGTTAGCCAACTGTCTTTAAAAGTCAAATTAGTAAGGCATGAGCTTACTTTATTGTTGTTATTGGTTTTTTAACTTGTTAGTTTACTCTCTATCCTTTACGCCATCATGGCGTGACATATTCCTCCTTTCAAGTAGCGGTAATTAATCCTTGATTGTGTTGGATATGTTGGTTTGTCATGACTGAAACTCATACAGTTTTATTATTTATCACATTAATAGACCTTATGTCAGAATTAAAATTTAAGAATAGATTATTATAAATAATCTATAATACTATAACACTTACTTTTAAGAACATTTGCTGGGGGTTTTGTCGCGGATAGAGTGCTAAAATGTAAATATTATGGCAAAGAAGAAAAATTTTTATTTTAGTGCTTATGGTTATACCCTCAAAGATTTCAAAAAATGGGGCAAATTAGGTGGTCGACCAGCCAAATACGCCAATGATGCGGAAAGACACAAGGCTTATCGACGTCGGAAAGCTTTAGCTAAATTGGCTAGTGGCGAAAGAACTGGTATTTTAAATATGACTACCGGTCGGATTTGTAGGTACCGGAAATAAGTTTTTGATTTTAACTAAAATTTTGTTTTTTTCTAGATTTGCGAATTAACACCAGAAAACTAACAACTAGCAATATCGCTATTCCTCCACCAAGCAACATTTTAGTAGTCAAAGAGGTAGATGGTTGTTTTTTTGCCTCTTGATTGGTATTTTCCTTGTTTAACTCCTTGGCTCTTTGCTCTATTTGTTGGTTTATGACTTGCATAAAAGCCTCGATTTCTTCTTCATTCTCTAAATTAGTTAGTTGTTCTTCCCAATTTTGATATTGAGGAGGTAAATCACTAGTGGTTAAGCAATTTTCTTTTAAATTTGTCAGAATTTGTTCTTTGACTGCAACAATGGCTGAGGTTGGTTTGGACTGAGATGACTGGGAAGAATTGACTTTTGATTCTTTACTTTCTTCTTCTGATTGTGGCATAGTTGGTATCTCTGGTTTCTTGTCTTCAGTTTCTTGGTCAGTAGCATAACCTTCGTCTTCTGGGAGAGTAGTTGTTTCAGTTTCAGCAGTGGCTTCTGGTTTGAGCTGAGCAGTTGGTTCCGGTTGGGGTGGAGACTGAGTTTCTTCCTCAGCTGGTGCTTGCCGATCGTGGAGAATCTTTTTTCATCAGTTAGTAATTGATATTGCCGCATTTTGTTGCTGAGCTAATTGGATTCAGGCTTGATCATAGGCTTGTTCGGATTGGTGTTCTTCAGCAAAATAACCTTTTTGAGAATTTAAAATTTGGATTTTTTTAAAAGAACTTGCAATAATCAGAGAAAGTCGGGAAACATTTTTTTCTAAATGAGCAGTTTTTTGTTTTTTGATATCTATCAACCTTCTAACTCTAGTTTCGGCAAAAATTTTTTCTAATAAGTTAACATTTTTTCCTTGTTTTAATCATTCCTTACACTTTTTGTTTGTTTTTTCTTCTGTGTCTAATAAATCATGATAACTTTTTCTTACTCCCTCTCATTCATGTTCCTTTAATGGAATTGATTGGGAGAGGCAGTAGTTACGAAATAGGATGAGTCTTCTTGCATGGTTTTTAATGGCTTCATCGGCTTTATTGACAATCATTCGCAATTCATCAATTGTTTTGATAAAATTAACACTTTGTTGATTACTCAAACATTCTAAAAAATCCTCCCTACTAATATGCTTTCAAGCATCAGGAGTTATTTGACTAGCAATGATGTTTAAGTCTTTTATTCAAGTTCTATATTTAGGAGTTATGTCTTTATATAAGGATTCAAAAAAACGAGAGCTAATTTTATCTCTACTTTCTTCTAATCCTCGGTAGTCAAGCTCGTGACCTTTTTTCCTGTGCCATGAAATAAGTCTGAGGAGAAATGAATTATTGCTTTGCTCTTCGGTGTCTCCATGAATATCTTCCAAGCCAAACCTATATAATTCAATGTATTCATCAAAATCACTTTCTCATTCCTTGATTTTATTTGCTAAACTTTTTTTAATATTTCCTAGTGTCACTAAGTCAAGAAACATGATATTATGTTCTTTTTCTTCTTTTTCTCATCTACTATTATAAGAAAAATAGTTTTGTCGGGCTTTTAGGCGAAAAAGGAAGTTGAGAGAATTTTCGTCATTTTTATTTTCTAAGTCTAATTCAAAAACAATTTTTTTTATTCCCTCTATAGAGTCGTAATCATAGGCAAAAAATTTATTGTTTCCCTCTTTTTCTAATCAATTCTCCTCACAAAATAGCGGTCAAACAAATTTATAGATTTGCTCCTGATTACCATTTATTTTTTGGTTTAGTGTCATAACTGTTTAATAATAAAGTTTATTATAAAAACAAATAGCATAACGCCACTTTACTTAGGAGGAACTTCAATTTGGGCTTCGGTTTGTTCTTCCTGGATTTGTAAATCAACTAATTGTTCAGTCAAAGCCAAGACTGTCTTTTGAATTGCTTTTTGTTTCTTTTCTAACTGGTTAATCTGGTGGCAAGTTAACTCAGTTTGAATTGCTTGTTCTTGGGTTTCTTTGGCTAAAAATTGTTGTTCGAGCAGTTTATTATTGATTTCAATAGTTTGCTCCAAATCCTTAATTTTTTGTTTTTGGGCTTGATTTTCCCAACTAACTTTTAAGTAATCAGTACTGAACTCTTGGAGGATATCAGGAGTTTGGTTGGCAATAAATTGCCGACGATAGAAATTGTCCATGACTTCGGCACTTTCTTGATTGGTTTCTCGCTCGATGGTTAGTTCTTCTTTTAGTTTAGCATTTTCAGTTTCTAAACTTGCTTTTTCTGATTTTAGTTGTTTTATTTGATTGACTAATTCCTCGGTGGAGTTTTGATAATGACGAATAAAATAATCCAATTCGCGAAAAGTGTTACTAAACCCACCAAAACCATCATGTTTTTCAGTTGCTGCTCATCAGTAAAAAACTTTTCAATATTCTAAAAATCTATCCTTGACATTTCGTCAATCTCGACTTAGTGTCATAGCGTACTCAAAATTAATTTCTAGGGATTTTGTTTTATCGATTTTTTCATTGTCAATGATTTTTGCCAAATCATTCCAGGCAGTCAAATCTCCTTTCTTAGTTGGGTTAGCATCTAATCAGTCTAAGAATTGTTTTCGGTAGTTAGTCATATTAGTTGATTTTATTATAATACTTTTTATTGATTTGGTACACTTAGTTAATAGATGAAATTCCTACTGAAACTAACTATTTTGGTATAGTAAAAAAGTAAGAATGATTGCTTATTCGTTGAGATGCCCGATTGGATGATTATGACCAACAAGGAAAATTAAAATTTGTTGGAAATCCAATTTATCGCTGAGAAAGTTTTAATGCTTTACAGAGATTTGAAGTAAAACAATTCCTAAATGTTGTTTCTGAATACTTAACTAATGAGGAAATTAACAGCAAAAATGGTATAAGAAAAGATGGGGAATAGAGTTAGTGGAATGGTTGGAGAATTATGATTGCTTGCCGGTGAATGCTGAGTGTGCGAGAAAATGGTTGAAAGATAAAAATCACTTGAATAGTTGTGATTGTTTAGAAAGAGAAGCCCAAGCCAATTATTTATTGTTTAGTAATTCTTTGGGAGAAAGTAAGGAGAAACTGAAAGAGTGTCAGTGTGAAACTAGTGAAAAAGTGCGGGTTGCTAGTGATGATTATGCTTGGTGTGGAAGTTGCGATAAGACCATCGCGGTAGCCAGTAAAAAAAGGGTTATAAAAAACAGAAATGACCCGAGGTTTTGGGGGGTGAGTAGTAGTTATAAGATATTGTGTTTGGGGTGTATTGGGAGGAGGTTTTATAATAGATTAGTAGATTGACAGAGGAAAAAGTGGAGGGAGTATCGGAGGAGGGGGTATGTTTAATCGACTATCCACAAAAATTATATATATGAGAAAAGCTGTGAACCTAAATTTAGAAAAAAGTATCTACCAAGAAGCAAAACGCCTAGTCCCTACCGGTCAGGTTAGTTCTTTGGTTAATAACCTCTTAAAAGAACACTTAACGAAACTAAAAGAACAAGAATTAAAAGAGGCTTACCAAAGGACAGCCGAGAGTAAAGAAATGCGGGAAGAAGATAAAGTTTGAGAAGGAAGTATAGAAGACGGAATAGAAGATGAGTAAAGCAGTTAATAAAATCC